GATAGACTTTTTCAAAGTTGCCATTACAACGTTAATCTACAAACTTTTAGAAAATTCTAGATTCATTACATGTTTGATACTTCATTATTTGAATATAAAATGAAAAATATAAAATGAATGAAAGTTTTAATTATTAAAATTTCTTTGAATTTCAGTAAAGCTCATTCAACTATTTGTTAAAAAAAAGGTTTTAATATGAGAAATCAAAGAAATAAAATTTTGAAACGAACGATTCTGTCAAGTGTTCTTTGAGGTAAAGATTATTCTTCATATACTGCTACAATAAGATGAGCCCATTTGATACGCTTGATTCAGTTTCAAATAAATTAACAATTATCATGTTCTTTATTGTTATACCTGTTTTTTTTTGATTTTTTCAGCTTCGCATTCTAACATTTTTATATTTAATTATATGAATCTTAAATTTTGAATTTTATAATCTGAAAATCAGCAGGTTAAAAATTGGGCTAACTAGTTCGACAGTTAATGTAGTACCAAAGAATTATAAAATCATTTTAATATAAAAAAGTACCCAATAAGCACACGTTTTCTAGAGCCAAGAATCTAATTCTGACATGTTAATTTTAGTAAAGTAATAAATTAGTGTGTAACATACTTAGTCTGTTATAGACAGTAATTTAAACTTTGTACTGTATATCTTAAGAATATTTAATTATTTCAAAATATAATAATTATACGTTATTTACCACTTTTAAAAAAGGCAAATAAATTTTATAAGTGAACTGTTTGAAAGTAATGAAGGTCTTATGTACCGGTTAACGGAGTGATACGAAAAGGAGTGGATTCAGGTGAATGGAGTATATGAAATGATGTTAAGTATATATTTTTTAATATAATACTAAACTGACCTAACCTAAATATTGGTAAGTTAGGGTTAGTTTAGGGTTAGGTTAGGTCTGTTTGGTATAATAAAAATATACTCAAACTATTTCACGTGATATACTATACTCATTTGGTCGACCATACTCTGCAACTTTCCGTATCACTCCCTACTTACAAAAATCAAGTATAAAAAACCATACTCAATACCTGCTCACGTAACATAATCCAATCATTTGCTTCACCTGACTCCACTCCATTTTGTAACATATTGGTTAACGTGCGTGGTTACGGTACATTTGATCGAATCCCAATTGACCGAAACCCAACCCATTTGGCCGAGTCCAATTGGCCGAATGGATATTTGTCCTAAAGTCCACCTTACCGAATGACCCATTCATCGAATGAGCATTTTACCGAATGACCAGTTCACCGAATGGAATCCGTTACGCCGAATGGACATTTTACCGAAAATTTTAATAATTTGCCGTCCAATTAAAATTTTATAGTGATGAATTAAATAAATTTTTTTTTTCAACTTTATACAGTATATTCATTAAAAAGATACAATGTGATATATATAAAAATAATAAAATGTTTTATGATTGATGATATCTGATCTTAATCTTTGATCAGAAGCCTATTATTTTTTAAAGGCAATATAAATTATAAATTTAATTGGACGGCAAATAAAAAAATTTTCAGTAAAATGTCCATTCGGCCATTCGGTAAACTTATCATTCGGTAAGATAGACTGTCCCTGTCCATTCGGCCGGCCAAATAAGTTTCGGTCAAAAGTCCGGATACGCATTTTTTGGTATAACATATGTGGTGATACAACAAACAAATAATATTAGCGATTAATGATATACAAGAATTATTGGTTTTGCGTCGTTAAATAGTTACAATTTAAAAAAAAATTATATAATTTGTTTTAATTAGATAATAACATTAAGTTTCTGGTTTTGTTCTTAATATCGTGTGTAAATGATATATTTCAAAGAATAATTGTTTGCTTGAATATAGTTAAGGTGAATCGAATTCGTAGATACTGTACATATGTTTTATCTAATTCTTGATGAAACTTTCGCTAAAAGGAAAGTTGAACTTCTTGACATTACCAAGTACAGTTTGGTTGGAAATATCAGAAAGTCAATCTATCAAAGTAGAGTGAACACCACCTTTACTAGTAATAATGAAAACGATCTCATAATATGGAAGGTTTCTATTTCTCTTGACGATGAAAATAAACATAAAATATTTGATGACTATTCTCGTTCAATTGATATTGAAAAGATCTAGAAGGCGAAGAACTGTATACGGACGATAGAATCCCAGAAGATATCCCATCCATAATGAACAAATCTAAAGAAGTTATCGAAATATGCAAATTAAATTATGGAGTGTTAGTATTTTTTCGTTAAAAAAACTAACAAAAAACTAAAAAAAAATCATTTTGAAGCATAATTTCCTTGAATTACGCTTCCCAGTAATACAAAAGAAAAATGAAATAATTAATAAATATTTCGTTAAAAAAAATAAAATAAAAAAAATTTTGAAAATACTTACTTACCCTCAAAACCTACAAACAAGTAAATGAATTATTAAATGTTTTGTTAAAGAAAAAACTTTAAAAAATTACATTACGAAAGTATAATACCTTTGAAATGTTAAAACTACAAAATAAGAAAATAAATGTCCCAAATATTTGATATTTCTTTAGTTTTCTCTAGAGAATTATGATATGTCTATGAGTTGATGTTGGTTCATGATAAATGGATTGAAACTGGACCAGGAATTGTGAAACAATTATGCTGTCGTAGTCAAAGCCGAACTGCTGAATTATTGAATTGCCAAATTATCAAGTTTCAAGTTAAAATGAATATAATGCTGCATGTTTATTAAAAAAAGTTTACCAACTCTCTTTGTTGATGCCGTAGCCTTTCCGAAATCCTGGATAGAATAAGTAGTCTTCATTCTTTTAAAAAAAATACAAATTTTTACTCATCTCTCTATGTAGATGCCAGAAATCCTGTGTTGAAAGATTAATAATTAACAAAATTATCTTTAGAAATTTCATTGCATTCAACAAAATTATTGATTTTGAATCTAATACAAGATCTCAAATACCACTTCTACCAGGTCGAGAATAAGTATGAACCTAACTCAATAAGTTGGTTTAATTCAGATCTTTGGTTTTTAATTATGACTAACTATCAAAAAATTAATTCGGGTCAATAACACCTTCTATACAATGTATTACTTAATCTTAGGAGGAGAGGAATCAAGGAATGTTTCCTTGCAAATCAGAAGTTTGATTAGATTTCACATCACCGATTATGACCTAAGTTAATTTTTCATCATGACCTTGTTTAAATATAAATTCTAAAAAAAAAATTCATTTTCGCATAATTCACTTTGAATAATTAACTTTGAATAGTTGTATCATCAAAAAAATTTTATCGTAACAACAATCAGATTAGCAAAGAATCTAGATTTGTGATACATGACATACTGGGTGGGTTCAACTGAGTCCGTGAACAGTGATATTTTGACACGTTACAATTGTATTTGGAGAATAATCCATTGAAGTAAGGTTTATTGTGTTGTTTCGAGCTAAAACTCATTTTCAAATCCTAAATGATGATAACAATCTGAAACATAATTTTAAACTCTGAACTTTAGGCTAAACTAAACTAAAATATAAATCCCCCTTTGATTCTAAAATCACGTGATTAATATAGTAAAAATAGGGATGTCCTGAACAATTTTAGAAATTACGAGTCATAAAAAAATCTAATCGCTTATCTATAATAAGTAACCCTTGATAAAAAATTTTATGTGTGGCAGATCTATTTTTAATAGTCGACTTTTTCCTCATTGGAAGAGTGGATTTCATTTATTTGAAGAAACTTGTCATTGAAAATCTTTATCTTGCTTGTGCAGCACTTTGTCAGGCAAGGACACATTGAAAGAATATTTACAAAGAGGCTTTAAAAAAATAATATTATGTTAGCTACAACTTAATAAAAAATTAAATTGACCAATTCATTTTTAAAATCATTTATCAAATTCACAAGAAAAAAAATTTAATTTTCATAGAAAGTAATCTATCAAACATATTTCTCAAGATTGTTTCTTGTTCAATCTGTCAATAAAATATCATAATATCATAAAGGTGCGTTTTTATATTGCAAATATAATTATATGATCCAAATTTTATACGCACATTTCAATCTCATTTTTTTATCTAAAAATATTTGATGTTTAGAAAAGTCGTGCATGTTTGTTAAAACTTTAGCGTTTCTTATGGAAGAACTTGAAGCAATATCTCAGAAGAATGATTCCATTTTTCCAAAAAAAATAATGTACAATCAGGGTAATTTTATGGCACGAATATATTGTTTTAAATTACCTGGAGAGCATGGAATATGAACTAGATAGATAAGTATAAAGCATTTTTTTTTTCGTATAATGATGGATTAACTTTGATTTAATACTTGTAGACTAGGTAATCCATTGATCCATATATTGAATTTTCGAATTTAATTTTATCGGCTATAATATTAACTTTCTTTCTATGTTCTTTATGAATTGGATGATTAAATCAAAAAATAACAAAAAACTTACCATTACAGGTAAGAAAAAATTTGAATTAAACTAAAAAAAGTGGAAAGGCTTTAAAGTTCACGATCCGGTTGTTCGGCGAGCCAATTTACTCAGTTTTAAGTAGGTAGTAAAATAACATATTTTTTTTAATAATTAACTTTGCTTTCATGTGAATTTCAATGAAGTTAAAACTATTATTTACCCGCGTGCTAACGAGTACCTCAAAACCCATCCATGACCTAATAATAACTGCATTTTGTTAATGATTTTATTAAAATAAAAATTAGTATAAATTATTCTCATTTTAGGTCAATTTAATGCAACGATTCGTATTTCCAATTCCTTTTGCCAGCATATTGATGAGCTGATCTCAACTCTACCTCTCACTTTCATTATGAGAAACTCCTTTTTTGATATCTGATTCTACTTAAAAATTCGTGTTGAAACAATTTCCTTTCTTGAATTGGACTTTGCAAGAACTTCATTTATTTAATTATAATTTCAAGTAATTCAGATGAACCTATATATAATAGAAGTAAAGACCAAGCAAAATGAGCTGGTTCTTGACGATGAAGACATAGATAATTGAGAAAACAAAGTCGCTGGTCAAGTCTTCATTACTTTGAGCTTTTAACCATCTCAGCGGACCGGCCGGAGCCATAGCACTTTTGATCGAGACACTTAATGGCGAAATGCAAAGTAATTTTAATCTCCTAAAACTGTTTTGTCTCGCTGTCTTAAATTTTTCTTATTAGTTCAAGTTACTTGCATGCTTGAGGGTGAAGTGCACCTTCGTAGGGTTGGTGCAACCTTATCCTGCTAAAAATGCAACATTCCGGCCTGTTTCACTGAATTGTACCTAGTGCTTGTCATGTTTTGCATAATAACCACTTTTTACAACTAACATCTCGACCCACCAGATGCAACTAATTTCACGAATTGTCAAGAAGATTAATAGAAGAAGAATAGCTAAAGCAATCAAAATACAATCCAAGAAAGTGATTGCAAAGAATGAGTTAGAAATTTCCCAGGTGTAATTTTTAAATTTTCTTATATTCATGATTTTCTAGGATAATGTAATTATCGGAGGATACCATCGGATCAATAATTATTATGATGATTATCATGAAGTAAGCTCAAAACTCATGAAGCGGAATTTGGATAATGTTAACGTTAATAGTTCTAAAAAAGCGAGAGCTATGAAGGATAGCCAGAAATAACCGCATCAATTACCATACATGACATAAAATTATTGAAGTTTCCAATAATGTTTCATCCTTTGAATACAAGGAAAAATATAATTATATAGATAGTTTTTTTTATAGTAAACCCAGTTTCTCCATATTAATTTTTTTTTTTTTTAAAAAAAAAAATTGTGTAAATAGTTTTAACATTTGCATTGAATGAAAAAAAAAAATAAAGCTTCCATTTGCGTTAAATTGGAATATAGCGCCGATGTTATTTCCAAAGTAAAAACGCATTAACATATCAATCATGCATATGATTTACTATATATCTAATGACTTGATTTACTGGAAATATTCCCATATGATTCGTGAAGTATTTCACGTACCGATTAATAAAGATCAAAATTTCACTTCTCTTCTCTCAATCATACTTCTTGCCGATCGTGACAAAGTTCAAAAAATGTCACGAAAGTGGCGATGCAGGGGCATGTGTAATCATGTAAAATACGTTTAAATGATAAACTTTAATAAAGAAAATTCTTTTTCTCTAAACCAGTATTAAAACAGACCCTTCTATTTATTTATATACAACCATATTTAACAAAAAATGTATATATACAATAAAACAAGGTAAAATGCTCGTTTTTTAATTATACATAGTCTGTTACAATAGTTTTTTTTTTGGGAACTTTAAATTTAAGTTTATGGAACTTGATATTGAAAAATACAACAATCCATATAATGATTTATTTTGATTTTAAAGTGTATTTTTAAGCTAAAAGTATATGTTTCATTCAATAAATAATCTCATTCTTTTTATTTACAAATGTGCAGAAACTGGGCGAATAACCCGCACATATTAAAATCAATGATTAAATCATGAAAATGCAGTAAAAAAACGATGTTCTGAACAGATGTAATCATTCGCTCAATGCGTTCGAGTTGCCCTAAGCATACATATTTTTTTTTATTTTTACTTTTATTTTTTATCTTTGGATCACTTAGGCATGTGGATACAAATCAAATGAAGTTAAATCAAATGGAGGTATGTCGTCACTTGGCAAAAAAATTTTATTAAAGATTGAAGATTTAGAAGATATATCAAGAGATTAATACCTGAAGTAGAATTAGAATTTATGGTTGGCTATTACACTGGGATGTCAGTTTAACACGTTTGAAGGAAATTCATTATGATTTAGAAGAAAAATTTCCTTTTATCGTTGGAGATAGTATAAAAGATGAATGTAAATTTCCCTTTCAAAAATTTAAATAAGTGGTGAGGTATTATCCGTCACTTAATATCTGAACAATATTTCGTATAGAAAATTAAATAAAAGCTTTACACAATTATTACAAATTTTAAATTTTTTAATAGAGTTTTTTTGTTTGCTCTTGCTCTGTAATTTCATTATGAGCGTCCAGAAAGATTTAAATATTTGTTTTGTTATTTACTGTAAATTGTTTGTAAGCATTTAATTATTAAATAAAAAAAAACCAAACCATTTTTGATTACATTCAACATAACATAATAAAAAATTATCTGGAAGCATATTAAATGTAGTTTTTATCGGGTGAAGAGTATAACTCGTTACTAATTATGTTACGATGCAATATGCCCCGATAAAACATTTACTCAATACTACGTAACCTCATAACCTCGGCATTCATCGGTCAATAATACGCTTAATTTCAGAGAAAATTTAAAATTCGATAAAATGGGGTGAGTGCTGGGAAAAAGGACCAAATCGACAAAAAAATTTTTTTTGAAATAACAAATGATCTGAATCAGATGACCAAATCTACATCTATTTTACTTAGGAACTTTTTTTTAAAAAAAAAATCAATTTGGTCCATTTTCCCAGCACTCACCCCATTTTATCTCTGAAACTTATCTTTGCTTGTTAATAAATTCATTCTTCTTTAAATCTATATCAACAAAGATGACCTGATCCTTTAATTTAATAATTTGTGTTTATTTCTTCCATAGTTTAGATGTACTTAAACTTCCTGTTAGCAAATAATCTTTGTTAACTTAACGACGAACAGTTTAAGCTTAATAACGTAATCGTGTAATATGCACAATATGTAATTTTGTTATTATTGCTTATTTGAGATAGAACGTATTTGTTAAAATAAATAAAAAACTATATAATAAAGTGGAGTTTATAAGAGTAGTGGTTGAAGGTTTGGTAATAATATATTTTTTTGCACAGTGTTCGTGAAATTCAAAGATATTTTATCTCTAATAAAACTTACTCAATTTATGTTTATTTTTTAAGTTTAAATATTCGTTAGAAAGAGAATAAAATTTTGGATAATATAATATATTAATATTCTAAAATTAATAATGGTTTATTAAATAATATTGCTTTAAAATTAACATTTTTCTTAAGATACATATTATTGAAATCTGATTGGATATGATATTTGGTATTACTATATAATGAATAAATTGTTAAAATTCAATAAGACATTACTAAATTTTCTCATATAATAAATTTTGACCTTCAAAAATAAAGCTTTGTTATAGTGATATTTAACTGTAGTTATACATGAAGTCGAAATGGATCATTTCGGATGTCCAAAATGGTCGAAATAGTCAAAATCATTTTGACCATTGGAGGCTAAAGTCGCGAATAGTCGAAATGACGTCATTTCACATGATTTTTTATATTTAGAAAAACAAAAAACAAAAGATGTACGATCTCAGTAAATATAGCTCTGATTCATATGAAACAACTACCCTTAGATTCCTCGCGACTAGACGAATCTAATGAGCTAAAGTTTATTGATTGTGGATCATCCAATCACGAGATACTCGCAATTGTATTATTGGCCAAAATTATAAATCAATAAATACTACTTTGAGTCTAGATTTCTAAATAACATCGCAAATATCTCGAGATGAGATGATCCAAAATCAATGAATGTTAGCTTGTTAGATTTGTCTAGTCATGAGAAATCGAATGGTAGTTTTTTCATACGAATAGGAGCGATATTGACCGAGATCGTACATCTTTTATTTTTTTTCTATATATAAAAAATCATGTGATATGACGTAATTTCGACTATTTTGACTTTCATTTTGACTTTTTGGGTTTTTATTTCGACTTCATGTATAATTGTAGTCATATTTATGCATTTATTATTAAAATATGACTAAAAAAAATTTTTTTGCATATAGTTATATTTCTTTATAGTTACTTCATATAATATCCCTATAAGAAATCGAAATAAGGAAATAATACGTTTTTTATAAGGTTTATATACGTAATTAATGATTCTATATCAAAATTCTGTATGTTTTATAATGATTTATTTTTTTATAATTTTTTAAAAAAT